TGTTATATTGATTCTTTATCAACCTATACTAGACAATATCACCATTCAAATTTATACAGATTTACTGGTTAAGAAATCTATAGCAATTTCACTGTTTTTTATTGATTTATAGTGATTTATAACAGTTTGTAACAACTATATTATAATAAAATATCGGATTCATTTTTATTCGGTTATAGGCATATCAGGGATTTATATAGGGCCATATCTCAGATTAATTTTATATTTACATGCATATGCACAGCATCTTCGGCTAAATCGGCTTGTAGCATGACGTATATCATATCACATGAGATTTCCCTGCCAGTGTTTCAAGTTTCTATAAATCACGAGATGATCGGCCAATCAGATTTCGGATTTTTTCTTTAGCCGGATAAGCATAACGGGAATTCGGGAAAATGATTACGAATAAAATGCACATGCAAAAATGTATTGTTTTTCTGATGGTAGAGTCTGGACATAGTGTCCGAGCTTGTCAAAAATGCGCAGAAGCGGGATCAGCATCTGATTAAATTTATCTCCTGAAATAGCCGGCTGTTAAGGCACTTCATAACTCATTGCATATATGACTATCTGATGGTAGAGTCTGGACACAGTGTCCAGGCTCGGCAAATTATTTTCCATGATATTTGGCAATCAGTTATACACATTTAAAAAATAAAGCCCGATATGAGCGGGATATGCAAATGCTTTATTATATATTTGAGAATACACGTGAACGAAATTCTGTTTTTTCTGGTGGTAGAGTCTGGACACGGTGTCTGGGCTTGACTTAATTGTACAGAAAAAATGGCGCAGTATATTAACAACCCTTTCATTTTAAGATTTCGGCCATTACATAATCCTTTTCATCTTTAGTTAGATTTAAGATGAAACCTGAAAGGGTGGATTTTATCCGTGCTATTTTTTCTTTGCCTACACTATTAAAAAGCTTATAAACCTTTTCGGATCTCTTCATCATTTTTCGCAAAGCTTCGTCAGAATATTTTGCTTCAAGAATCGCTTTTCTGACCTCACTTTTAACCAATGCTTGAGATTCATCCTTACCATAGTCGAGTTTAAATTCCTTGTATCGTTTAAATACAGCCTCCTCAAAATCAAAATAGCTGTAAATAAGACCTTGAGATGCATCTTCGTTTTTAGTTTCGGCATTATCAATCCTATTCGAGAGTTACAAAAAAAATACCCCTGGCATCGGTTGCGTCACTTGGACCTGAAGCTTCCAAGTTTTCAGACCTCGACACCTTCTATTATTGTTGAAGACGTTGAGACAAACTTTTCACTCATCAAATTAAATATAGCCGAGGTTCCGCTTCATAACATATTTTTCTGATAAGAAAGTGGGTAAACTGGGACAAAAAATGTTACGATTGGAAAAATTTTTGTGTACCTCTGATCATTCCCTGAGGGAATGGTTTTTTTGTCATAATTTAAGAGTTTCAATAGTTAGTACATCGTGCAATAAAGTAAACACTATTATAGTATTATGTATACGAAACTGACATATGAACATTTTTATCTCTGATGCACACCCCACGCCACAATAAAAAATTCTTTTATTGATACATGAAATAAAATATATGATTCGACTTGTAGTTGTGATACATAGATTTGCTACACGATAGTTCTATATTAATGCCTGGAGAGATTTTTTGCTTGTCTAACCCATCCGGTTTCATTTGCCCTAATCATCGAATGTCTAGGATAGAAAAAAACGGTCGTCAGTTGTGCTTATACGAGACATGCAATGTCAGAAACAAATGAACATTAACCTTAGTAAAGCCCGCCAAAATTTTACATTGCAGGTCTTCAACCAAAAAAAAATGGTTATTAGTTTTCTCTTTGAAGTCACTTCTTTTGCGATCATAACCCGGTTCATATGATTATATGAAATATCGAAAAAAAATTATTAGCAAAATTGCAAATGCCTCAGTAATTTTTCGTGTATTGCTTGTGAAACTTTATGTCATACAGTACATGATGACATATGATTCATTAATCACATATTCATCATCAAATTCGAATCTAAGTTATTTATATACCTAATGGTTATTTTTCATAAAAGAACGATAGTTTTTCCTCCATTAGTCTTTTATTTTGTGTTTGATTAACACTAAGGAATGACTGAAACAGCAAATCAGTTACTAAGTCGCGTCGTCCCAGTTTGCACTTGGCAGGCACCAGGTTCAACTGCTACAACTGAACCAGCTTATCCCCACTTTCTACATGTCGTGAGAGAATGGCGTTACTTCAACCGAAGTGTCAACAATTCGATCTGTCATACTCCGGGAGGACAATTCCAGGTGTTTCCAAATAATGCAGGAGATCTACGTGTAGAAGACGATGCAAAATTTCTAATGTTTTATGGCCAGTTGAAACACTACTAGGAGGAGCAAGTTTTAGTGCGAGATGTACTGGAATTTTGGGTGTTCCCGATTTCATTTTATGCACTAATAATCCCACAGCAGGCAAGATGCCTGTGGAGGTTAAAATACGTCACAATTTGAGGTAGGTAATTATCACCTTTGAGAAGTTTATCGACATATTGATCGGGCTCAAATAGCAGATTAAGATTTTAAGTTTAGAAAAAAAATCTTATCTCAGGCGTTTGGCGAAATGGCTTGCAATGGTCTTCATTTTGGCATTTTGACAAACTATTCTGATACATACTTTCTCAAACGACTGGAAAATGAACTAAACAACCTATATGTTTCTCATGTTGTTCATCCTGATAGTACCAATCCAACTTTACGCGAGTGCGTTTTCTACATCTGTCAGCAAGCTATTAATGATATTGTCGGCAATAGATTGGATCGTATAATGGATGACAATTTTACATCCTATGATGATGATGACGATGAAGATGACGATGACGAGAATTATCCTGATAATGATCCTGACGATGATTATGTTCCTTCTAATAATGATGATTCTTCTGACAATAATTATAGCTCAAAGAAGAGGAAGAGTTCTTCAAAGCAGATCGGTAGCAGGAAGAGAGAAATCGCATCATCTTCCAAAGAAATCACTACAATAGGTGAATACATAGATAGCGGAACCTTTGGAAAGGTTTTTTCTGGCTATTATTATGGTCAACTTGTGGCATGGAAGACTTGTAATGCGTATAAAGAGCAAGAAGCAACGAAAATGCTAAAACATGAAGCTCATATTTACTCTATTTTAAAAGAATGTCAAGGTACAAATTTTTTTTATTCATAATATTTTTATATATTATTAACTTGTCTATTGAAATATTGATATTAGGTCGTGCTGTTTCACGTTTGTTCTATAAAGGTTACATTTATGACGGATATCTTTTTGCATTAGTATTGCAATTAATTGAGAACGCCCATCACATTGATCTGGAAAGACTCACTAAAGAGGAAAAAAAATTAATAATTAATCAGCTCAAGTCAATACATAATTGTGGTGTCCTACACAATGATATCTCAAAGCAAAATATTCTATATGAACCAAAGAGTCGCCATTACTTTTTTATTGATTTTGGCTTGAGTGAAATCGTGGATAATGAGTCGCCGAAATTGCGCAAGGAAGAAAGGAGATTAAAAAGATTTTTACAACTTTAAATATCTGGATGCATAGTGTTAATGTGAAAATTATTGACGATTGTAGTTTGTGCACTACAATTAGGAATTAGAATTACTTAACTAGAACTATTCTTTATTAACGATAATGTATTATTACGCTAGATGGAATATAAATAAATTTTTATTGCAAGCTACAATGTATATATAACTTTTCATTTTAAATCACGAAATAAATAATATATTTGCGCAACTTATTTTTTCCAATGCATATTAAAAAACATAAAGCCTTAAATAAAAAAGTAAGGTAGTAAGAGAAACAAAGAGGTAGGGAAAATATCTATCTGAGAAATGATTTCAAATAGGAAGAATTCTTAGATTAGCAATGAGATAAAAAAAATAAAACAAGGTGAGAAGGGACCACTCCCGATTCACGCTTACTTCTATATTTCATAATATTCCATATCGCCTCAGATTTTTTTTATCATCAGTTCGGTACTGCACCAAACATCAAAACTATTGCCAGAAAATTTATTCGATATACTGCGCATTGTGATTAGACACGTGATGGTGATTACAAATATGCGGAAAGAACCAAGAAAAGTAACAATGTCCGCTTTATATCGTGATGATATATTTCAAGAAGCTAGCTGAGCTATAAACTGTCTTACCTTATTATTACTTTGCGAAATATACGAGTTCATTTGATCAAGATTATTAACGATATAAGTTTGATTAAATTTTATTATTTTATTAGTTTCGCTTAATTTTGCTTATATTTGCGCAAGACGTTCACCACTGTCTTGCCTTCTTTTTATATGATTTGTAGTGGGTCTAAGGTTTGATTTTTGGAATAAATCTTTGAGGAAATTACGTTATTAT